GTTTCCTTCCTTAAAACTGAGTAGAGTTTCTTCTTCGAGAGTGGCTTTTTCAGGTAACACTTCTTCAGCAAAGTCATTTGTTCCTTTGTTCACTTCGTCCCAACTGAAATGTCCTGGACCGTGATAACGCCAAAGCCTGTTGGCATGCACCACTTTTGGCTTACCTCGCCGACTACATTTTATCCGGAAAGTCACGTCTGAGAGACGATCCACTATGTCATATGGGCCTTCCCATGGAGAAGACAACTTAGGAGACTTCCCTTTGGTCTTCCTGGGATTATACAGCCATACCTTGTCTTCTGGTACAAAGCTGACTTCAGTAGATCTCTTATCACGATATCTCTTTACGATACATTTAATTTCAACAGTCGCTCTATAACAAACGCTATAACTCACAACGAACGTCTCACGCGGCCAACAATATTCTGTCCGCATACATTCAATTACTCATTCTCCCCGTCGCTTCGTGACCGGTCTTATATATATACAAGACTACACTATATCTAGAAGAATCACGAGATTTAAGGAAAGGACGTGATTGTTCGAGAACGACGTGGCGTGATATTAGTCACGTGACCTCGATGTCGTAACAATATGTACACTGATGGCAAAAGAAAGGATTATGAATTTGCAATAGTTAGATCAAATATACCAAGTTTAGTTGCAAGTAAAGGGCTTAATTCAGAGTTTTATAGATACAAAAGTTTATAAGAAAAAAGCACAATTTATTATTGACTATAAATAACTACATAATAAAATATAGCCTCAAATTTCAAAAGAATCATCAATTTATTATCTAAAAAAACACGTTGTTAAGAAAATACTTCTCTACTCGTATGTTAAGTAAAATTACTGTTGATTAAATGAAATATTTAATACATGAACCATCTGAAATAAACAGTTTTATCTATCCGAATAGAACTAAAACTTAATAATATGATAAGTCATACTCAAAAACCGTTGTTTAGTTTCGAAAATGTTATTATATTTTCAAGTGGTTAATCTATCTTACATATACTTCGGTTCACTTTTGTTGAATTTATCCTAATATTAATATCCTAATATTTATCCTAATAATTAATATTTATCCTAATCTCTTACTTATTGATCAATAAGTGCCAGACACTTAGTTTATGAGACAGCAACTTAGGATTAGACAAGATATATGTAAGTTCCATCATAAGCCCTCATTGGCTCAGGTGTAAGTCTTAGGGTTTATAAAGGGTTTCAATACTCGCAGTGGACACCGCAGATAGCCAATTCAATAGCTATGCGCTTAAAAACAAGCAAAGTATATAAAACATCCGTAAGAAGGAGATAATAATCATCACTCCAGAACAGTGTGTGTGTGTGTTTGTTTTTCTTATAGCAAAGCCACAACGAGCTATCTGCTGTGTTCACCGAGGTGAATCGAACCCTTGATTTTAGCGTTGTAAATCCGGAGACTTACCGCTGTGCCAACAGGGGACCCAAAACAGGCCTGTGAATTTAAACTTCAAAAAAGTTATTTTGGTTTTAATAACATATTTTCCATAATTTAGCTACGACGATTTCGAAAATAATATTATTTTTTTTCTAGCACGTAAGGATTTTTCACAAATCGGGAAGGGGAAAAAAACATCTTACTAAAATCAAATTATTATTTCGTTTACCACAATGAACATTTTATATTATTATGTTTGTTAACAAAAATGCAAACAAACTGAAGAAAAGAGAAGAACATTGATGTCAAACTAATATGCATCATCATTCATCCTGATTTGTTTTTTCTTGTGAAGTCTACGTCTTTTAGTTTCAAAACTACATGTTGTGGGCTTTCTTTTATGTATTGCGTTATGAAGTTTTGCGAAAAGTCTATAAATGATGGAGAAAAAAATGGATATCATTTTTGGATTTATCGTACAGGAATTATTATAGAACATGTAAAAATTTCAAGACAATAAAACCATCTCAGGCCTGTGTAATTCATATAAGAAATTTATACTCTATGCACAAAGTTTTAGTGTCTCACATTCAAAATTTTATCAACTACTTTTTGTTTATGTTATACTAATTAGAATAGCATAAAATCTTAGCTAATAATCCATATTTTAATAGTATACAAGTTTTAGGTTCTTAATTCTGACACACATGACACATTTTGTCTTAGCATGTCATCATCCCTATTTTATCCATCAACCCTCGAAAATGTACGAAATTAAACGTAAAATACTCTCTATAAAATCGTTATAGCTCAAACAGACCATAATTTTTATAGCCTTCAATTTGTTTGATTACAGAGCTATCCAATAGAAAATCAGACCTCTCCTGCCACACCCACTTGTCACATCCTCTCTTTTACAATTCGTTAATAGTTCTCTCTTACGTTTCATTATATATTACTTATAACCAATAGAAAGTTAATGATTTCATCTATCAAATGGTGTATAGTATAACCTTATGTTCTATACAGATAACAGTCAATTTCATTCCGAGTAGCAACATTGTTCCCGTGGGAAAGTTAACACTAGCTTGACTGAATTTGTAAAGGCTTTTGTGGAATAGTTAGAAAGCCAGGAAAATTTTTAGAAGTAAGTGAATTTGTCTACTTTTGGCATGTTATTAGTCTATATTCTTTGGTGTATTATTTAATTAAATAAAAATTGTTAAGTGCTTTACTATAATCACTAAAAAAAGCAGGCTTAACTCTCCTCGACAATCGAGTGCAAAAAAAAAGAAGATTGGGTAAGTGTTTTATTTCTTGTTTTTCATATTTCTTCTTTATTTATTATTATAAAAGTAACTAAAATTAAAAGTACGGATCTTTTAAAGTTCTTTAAGACTAGATTAAGTAAAATAAGTAATAATAATAATATAATTAAAATGGTTTAAGTGGCACACACGCGAGCAGCTCGTGGGTAATGTAATTCGATAGCTGTGAGCTGCACGTTCCCCAAGTGATTAACAACTTATAATGGCGGGGATAGCAGTTAGACACGTTCAAAGGGCAATAAAACAATAAAATTTAATTATAAATAGATGTATAATGCTACAAACTTAGAACGACTTAGGATAAAGGAATGTAGTTTCAGGTTTTCAGAAAAGAAGGTTAATTTAGGTTTATTTCGATTTTTTGGGGATTACGAGGTCGGTCTAATTGACCGCTACGTTTTGAGATAGGGTAGAGAAAATAACATATAAACTATAAGGATTTAGTGAAAAAAACGTTTGAAATGCATTTAGGAGGTTTCAGGGATTACACAAAGGAAATTTTAGATTTTTGAAATGACAAAAAGTATTTTTAATTTTAACATGAAAATTACTTTGCACACGGACTATTCAAAACAAATAATATATTCATGGACAAAACTTTATTTTATTTTATTAGAAATATTTCACTCAGAAATATGACTTTTTATGTGTGAAAGACTCGTAATATTAACTGAAAGATTGCCAAATTTCGTGAAGATATACCCAACATACAGAGGATTATAAGTATTAAATTTATATCAACTTTAAACGAGTACAAAAAGTCACGTGACTCGGTCAAATTGATCGACTCCGTGTTGGGAGAGTTATCAAGAAGAAAAGAGAAATAAAAACTGACCAAAAGTAGAAACTATAAAATTCACAGTTTTAGGGTTTTTTTACTGTGTATAACAGTACACAAACAGCGTCAGGAAAACTCAGTATCAACAGCTATCATCAAATCGTACATGAATGACTACAGCTCGGGAGTTAACTAGCAAAAACGAAAACTATTAGACAGTTTTTCTGATTCAAACTGCTTGAAAGTTACTATCAACGGCTATGATTTTATTTTTGTAAACAGTTACTTTGTAACAATTTGAGAGAGCAGTCACTTTGGCCAAACTTTCGGATGTGGCTCTAACAGTACCATGTCTTAAACCAAATTTCTTCAAAAGGGTGTCGAAGACTGCCTGGAGGGGTCACTTGTTTTAACCACTCATGTCAGCCAGTCAGTAGACACTAAAATGACGTCACATATGGGAAGCTTAAGTTGCAACCGGGCCCGGCATGGCCAGGTGGTTAAGGCACTCGACTCCCAATCTGAGGGTCGCGGGTTCGAATCCCTCTCCCACCAAACATGCTCGCCCTTTCAGCCGTGGGGGCGTTATAATGTGACGGTCAATCCCACTATTCGTTGGTAAAAGAGTAGCCCAAGAGTTGGCGGTGGGTGGTGATGACTAGCTGCCTTCCCTCTAGTCTTACGCTGCTAAATTAGGGACGGCTATCGCAGATAGCCCTCGTGTAGCTTTGCACAAAATTCAAAAACAAACAAGTTGCAATTTCTATTGTCGTGACGTCCGTAAAACGTGCACGTGCCATGAATCACGAGAAGAATTAGTCACTCTGTAGGCTACAACACAACATAACATATGAATTTCAAAAGCAAGAAATAAAATTTTTGTTACTCTTAATTGTTACTTTTGAAACAGAACACTTTAGGGAAATCTGCAGAAGTACATCTAGGAATCTACTTTATATATGATGTATACTATAATTTGCATCTATTATGCTGAAATACAGAACAATGTAAGTTAAGTTTCATAAAAGATGGATAAATTATATTACCATTGAAAATTTTAATAATATATTGAATATGTCTATAAAACTGCTTGAAAATATACTTTTTTTATACGTTCAAAGGCTAAAACATTTGTTACATTACATTCTTATTCAATTCATTGATCTTATGAACAGAAGTATAAACGATGAATCAAACTTCCCTTTACGCACCATATGTGTGGTACTGTGTTTCAATCACAATATACCACCATATGATGTTCAGAAACTTGGGATTATCTTTCAATCATAATCTGCCACTACATGATGGTCAGATATTGATCTAATGTATTTACCATAAACCTGACACTGTCCTTCAATCAAAATATACCACCACATGATGGTCAGATATTGGTCAACTGTGTTTACCATAAACGTAACACTCTTTCAATCACAATATAAATATATCCTTCTATGTTACTAATGAACTCTTTCGATAGGGTTTCGTAGTTCTTTAAGAATAGTTTTACTATCGTAATATATATATATATATATATTAAAAACTATTTCAACTTTGATTTCATAATTAATATAACTTACATTACATTATCTCCAATGCTTTCAAGAGCTATTGCATTTTGAGGTGTATTGTGTCTACAAATTGGCACTTCCCGTTCATATCCAGGGTTGTAATTTCTGGGAAGGATATATATAATGTTGCCTCAGCGAGGTCACGTGACTAGTATCACGCCACGTCCTTATCGAACCTTCGTGAATTATCGGGAGACTACTAGATT